ATGTATCACTTAGACAAAGTTGCTTAATATAGCAAAGCAGTCCAACGATATATATATAGCCACTGTATATATGGACGTACGAACTAGTCCGATAAGCATTCTGCGCTAATTCTAGCATAGTTTTTAAAGCGTTGGGAGTACCTTCTGTACGATTTGCAATAGGCTTAATGTTAAAATAAAGCATTTAGATGGCAAATTCGTGTTAAGAGATCGGTACGCGACTTTTATTGATTTTACACAGCACAAGCACAAATAACGAGTACTTGTTAAATTTACTTCATTTACGATAGCGTTTGTCCTGTGCTCGACTCCGATCTGGATGGATATGAACGTTAACAAACGTGCATTGTGAAACAGTGGTTATCATTTCATCGAACTGGATTAAACCAATAATTAACACTGGTGCGTAGAATTCTTATATGTTCTAGCTTTCGAAGATGAGATATTTTATGAAAAGGGAAGATCTATCGTTATAATTAACCATGTACATACATAGTGGGTTCCTGAATACCAGTATTAAATCCGATTAAGCTATTTAAGGTTTCGCTTGAATTATTTAATCGTTTGTTGCGTTCGTTTTTAGAATATTTCTAAAGGTCATGCAATCTTGTTCCATTTCCACGTAATTAAAAATGGTCCGTCATTGCTTCAGAGATGTTTTCATAGCCTCGCCGTATGTCTGACAACACGTGAAGTATATATAACCATATTCTATCTATAAACTGAATGACCAAAAAAAATTGGTCATTTATTTTAGTACACATTGATTAAGAGCATAGCAAGGCCTCTCGGTGGCTCAAAAGTTATTTCTCTGCGTGTTTCGATGCATAACAGCAGACTTTCGCAATTATAAATAAATTAAATAGAACAATAATAATAGAAATAAACGGTTAACTTTATACTGAATGTCTCATTGACTGGTTAAATAAAATTATCTTTTATGATGGTTGCAAACGGAAAGTGCCATCGCTATACTATCTTATTCATTAGGGCTACTAGCAATAAAGAACAATTATACGGCAAATATGGGGGAGAGATTAACTCAATTGATTGATTACGTTTCTAGAAAGGTGAAAAGCACAGATGAAAAGAACGTACTGAGAAGAAAAGGGTCATTCAGAGTAGATTGATCCAACTCATATTTTGTATTTGTAAAGTAAGCTTTTCGCACAGGAATAGAGTTATGTGCATTACACTTAACAATAACGGAAACTAGCGATTTCTAGCATTTGCGGCTAAATATTCAGTAATAAAAACTACTCTGTCAAAACACATTAAGTTAGTGTGATGAGTTAGCTCTTATTTGTACTTCTTATTATGTTTGTCATTAGCGTCCTATATTTTATGTTCTCCAGTGCCCTTTCTGTGACAGCTATAGTCATGGTGGTATTCTAGGATGCTGATTTCATTGGAGATCAGTTGGTATATATATATATATATATACATTGGACAACTCGTTAGTAATGGACGCAGGTCAAAGGGATTTTGATAACATAGTAATATTACTCAATTTTTTAATGTTTTTACGAAAAAAGAAATCTAGCGACTTGACAAATGATTCCACCGATGAGTGTTCCAAGTTTTTAGTCTGGTCCTGGCGGTGAACATTGTTTCAGAGTGTCTTGGTAGGCTGCTCAAGCCCTGTCGTCCCACAAAACCAATTCAAATCCATGCTCATTATGTCACAGCCGGTGAGTGCGGAGCAGTGCGACTTCCTCCGTGCGATAATGAGGTTTATAAGCATGGGAATACGCCGCCTTCCGTCGCTTTCGAAGGTGCGGAATCTGGACAAATAGTAGTACTATGTGAATGTAACAACTGCTTGTGCCAGCGATGAGGATTGTGTGTGTGTGTGTGTGAATGTATGCATTTGCTATACATTTATTGTGCCATAAGAAAAATTCTATTTTTCACGAAGTTGACGTTCGAATAGATTTCTGAGGGAGCTCAATCAGCCTCTGCGACGGCGCAGCCTTCGAGGTCAGTCTTTGTTGAGGGTAGCTATACTATTAACCTCCTCAGGAGCATGTGCCAATGCTGACATTTCGAAACCAGATTCAGTGAAGTGTCAAGATGGGACTTTCTTTATCGCCCCTGTTTATCTATGCATAAAGAGCCGACATATAAAACATCAGCCAAACAAAGTTCTTTGCGAGTCATTTCTTTTTTTCTTAGAATGTGCATATCGAGAATAGGCTAAGTATCACCGCATACAATCTCGATGCTTCTTACTTTCCAGAACGTTGCAGAAATAAACCCAATAAAATTCACCCAAATCGATTAAATGACAAAATGGTTTTCACACTTAAAATAGTAGATGGAAATAGATCCGGAAATAATGCAGACCCGGTCAGATGTCGCCTATCAGCTGCTAGTACATTTGTATAGCTAACCGTTGCTACCTTAGCAGTTACTTTCATATATTTAACAAATAGAATAAACAGCAAGGGAAAACGAATAGAATAGAAATAGCAAAATACAAGCGTGACACAGAGCAGGTAGTTGGCGTCGGTTGCACAATATTATATAATATCAGCTTGTCTTTAGCGCTTTGTTATTCGAAAGCCGTTAATGCATTTAACGATGGTTTAGTCGATGAGTTTGAAGGTTGGACCTAAATTAGGCAGACACGTCTTGCTAGGCCATCTATTATTTCATTTAATATTGCTATCTATGAATCTTTATAGATTAACATATTTACAATTATGGATTATGAATGGTCCTTGAATATGAAAGACCTTACATATCTAATTAGTTCAATTGCGGTTCTCGATCAGTTAGCCATCAATTTAAATTCTGTGAGTATATTTTACACTAACAATAATGAATACTAAAATAAAAGAACTAAAACTAACTGTATTTTTTAACCGCGAAAAAACGTCGTCTTCGTTCGATTTTAGAAAGTATGCAACAAATTCTCGCTTACACTGTTCACCACAAATTACAAAAGAAATATCATATCTTTATTACTTGAATATGTGGAGTTGTTGGAAAATTATATAATTAGCCTGTATCTTTTCATTTTGTTGTAAACTTTCGAGGTATCAAACTTAAGCCGATAATCAAATTGTCTGTGTGAAATGTATGAATATTGTATATTCTAGGAAAGATAACCTCCATTCATTAGCGATATGCTGATAATTTGAGCACATTTGTCTCTATCGCACACTAAATCCAATGTCTAGATAAAGGATGAAGTGCAAGCCCTAACAATCCAAACAAGGTGCACTGAATCACTCCTGTTGTTTCCTTCTGTGCTTTCGTCGGTCCGTGATTTTCGAGTGATAGATATCATAACTTCAGCATACTCTCCTTTGTGCGTAGCGAAGTAAAGACAAATACATTTGGTATGTTGTCCATATTCGTTTTTGAAAAAAAAAATGTTTTCGGTAGGCGTTGGTGGCTTCTTAGAGCCAAATTACACAAAATTGCCCAACAAGTTTGATGCTTTTTATTGCATCGACTTTAACAAACCTTCATTACATTATACAAGACAATTGCAATCGTTATCTTCATTTATCAAGAGACACTCAGGTAAACTCCTTTTCATATATATTCCAGTCGTTCGGAGTTCGTAAGTTTGTGTTCAGATATTATCCCGCTAATAGCAGGTCATTAAAAAGTTCCTAAGGCCAGCATCGTGCTCAAACCAGACGATGAGGCGCCGATTGTTGTGGTATTGGACTGGCTAGTATTTTTTTTTTACATTCATTAAAGAAAACAACTTTTCTACACCTTTGAAATCAGCACAATGTATCGGCGGAAAAATGTTGAAAATACTAAACTTTAACCACATCTTCAATCTAAATGGATAGCAAACTTCTACGTTATAGCCTTTTTCGCCCTGGGTGCCTCAGTTTGGCATATAACTTTTAATAATCGGACTGCAGCATCTCCAGTTCTATTTGCGACACCGTGCCCAACCCCATCCACTTTATCGAGACAAATTAGTCATGTACGACTTGCATTGATCACACAACCAATCACAACTTCTGTTAAAAAGAAAAAACTTGGTTGGAAGGTGCCCCTGGAACCGTTAATAACAACTGGAAAAACGTCAACACGAATCATATCGTCAGCATTTACAGCGACATCTATAAGAGCAACATCCTTACAATAATTATATCATCGGCAGAATGAACGATTGCTATTATGAAGTTTCCAGTATTTACTGATCTGCTTGGCCATTGGCACCAGCTTAGCACGGTGACACGTTCGCTGCAATCACCGTCAGTGCGGTTGTTACTTAATGGACATTCTCGTGTTACAACCTTCATCGAATCGTTGCCGGGGGACTGGTGGGCGGCTTAGTCGCATATAGTGTTTGTCTCTAATGGCCACCGTCACAGGCAGCGGCAACAGTAACAAATAAAGTAAATTAACCAGCAATTCCCGTTTGTAGCAGCCGCAGCAACCAGGATGTCATTTGCCCGTGCCTGTTTTGCTATTAAACACATCCTATTTTACGTTTTACACGTTTGCTAGAGGCACTTACAATTATTATAAAGGTAATATCGAATAGCAGCCGGCTATTGCCAAATAGACATAACTTTATACGTTCCTCCACAATATAGTTTAAAGAGAGTTCTCCATGAATGCAGTTTTCACAAAAATAAAAAATTGCATATTCAAGTATGACGCTGATGGTCGTCTTGGTGATTCTAAACGGTGGTGCAACATAGATTTTGAACGAAACAAGTTGCTGGTTTCAGTTTAGCATGATTAGCTTAATCAACATTACGCTTTACGTGGAAAAACATGACCTGCCTTCTAGGCACAAACGTTTTGGCCGAATTCCTAAGTGAGACCCTAGCGACTCACAAAAAACTAGTCCGATCCGTGTGTTGTAAGGAATTGCTTTGTATCGGTCAAGTCTCTTAATGAACAGTCTGAAATAAACTGGTCGTATTTCTTAAACGGGAATAGGTTTCAATAACCTTGTAGTGCCAGCGACATGCTGCCTACTCCCTTCCTGCTGGTGATATTCGCTGTCGCCGGTCCATAGCTGCTTCAGCTGTAATAGAAGAAACGTGTGCGATTCTTCATTTGGCTTGCCACTGATTGAATGTGGTTAGAGCGTTAACAAACTTTAATCCTGCAGCGCCAGCTAACGAACGCGGTGTCAATTACGGACGAATCATCCGGGCAGGACACGTAAGAGGAAGAGAAATGGAGAGTGAAAAGCGAGCTGGACACTGTTGTGACTCATATGAGCGCCCAGCGACGTGTACGTAGATCGCGAATGTGCTTGTTCAGTGAGCCAGCGTGCTGTGTATGCGCCTCTAAAAAAGAGTTCGTCGTCATTGCTGCATTCCGTTACATGAACTAGAACAGTACGCGAGAGAACTGTCTCTATTTTTGCGGTGAAGTAATCACCCTCGGAAGCCGGCGCTGGCCCATCATCACACTCGCCACGTCAGGGAACGTACGCGTTCACCAACCAACCACCATTAGCCCCAAAAAGGGACTAGCACGAGCCAAGCCGAATTTAATAGTGCAGTATAGCCACAAGCCGCCGTAAGCAGCTATATGTCTACTGTTAATTGGAGTTTCCTGAGGATGAGTAGCGGCTGCATGTAACGCTTGCTAAAGCACTGATCGGTCCCCATTAGCAAACGATTAATGCCAGCGTTGCAATCCCCACAAATTAGCTTAGAGGTTATGCTTATATATGATGTCGGTTCGAGTGAGCTCATCCAGACAGACCCATATTATTACGGATGTGTTTTGGGCGCGCTTGGTTGGTATTCGATGTGGCTTCGTTTAATAAATGACTTCGGGACGATACGATCTACTGTTAACCTTGTAACTCCCTATGTCAGCTTCTAAATGAAAAAAGAAAGGAAACAAAGAGTTTGACTTAGTGAAAAATTTGTTCACTTGAAAAGTGCCCGCTATATTTTTTGTGGTTTTTTATGCAGCTAACAACGTTCATTATCTGAATCTTGGTGTTTGTTGTTTTACTATGTGTGTGCTGCTACGAACATCAAAAATTTTTCGATGCGTCCCTGAGCTACTAGCATAGACTGGTTGTGCGTCTGAAAAATTCGTGCTGAAACCGGCATGTCTTCATTTAATCCCCCTGGCCGAACTTCGCCTCCACCTCCTACTCCGCCACCCCCGCTAATTGATGTTAGAGACCTGTTAATTAACGCCCTGGATTTTCTACCGAAATTCCCACCTACGTCAGGCAATCCCTCTCGTAACAAGGATGCGTCTTGCTCTTTGCTTCCCCTACCTTCTTCAAATGATGTGTCAGATGTTGAAACAGAAGCTATACTAAGAACTGATGAAACATCTTTAACTATTAAGCCAAACAGAAAAGGCCCTTACAGCGGAACGATAGGAAACAGTAGCACCGCCACCGATAGTACTGCTCCGGGAGTATCTATCGAAGTGGAGGACCCTGCCTACGATGCAGTATATGATGGTGCTGGTCAGAGAGCTGCCAATCTCGTAGAGCTCGTTAGTGCTCCTGCAGACTTTGAAGACTCGCTTGGATTGCCATCTGACAACGTCCCGATAACACCAGCCTGGGGCAGGGGCAGTGAATATGATCAAACAGACACAAACGATGATAATAGTGAAGGACCTTTATCGATGTTTCTTCGACAAGATGCTCCGACTGAACACTTATATTGCGAGCTTTCGCCGAGACATGAGTCTAGATCTAGCGTCAAGGTGACCCAGCTTAACAGTTCAATATATCCCTATTTTATCGAACATTTAATCAATCGACGTTGCTGTATAGTACATACAAAGTTCACTACTTATTTATTTTACAAAATAGAGTAAGCAGAAAACAGCATACTGAACACCTTGAAAATTGCCGATGAGTTAAAAATAAAACTTCTTCAGTCTTTGTGGCGTGATACCAGCAAACCTAGAAATCTGTTCTTTAAACGAAATTTAAAAGAAAAATGTTCTTTAAACAATCAGGGTCTGTTTTTAATTATAGAAACCTGTACGAATGTGTGAATTTCATCGATCATCATTTGTGCTAATATATGTGTGTATTATACATAAGAGGTTACGCTTAATGGGCAGATTGATTTGAGCTAAGGCAGTGCTTAATTTAGGTCTGCTTTTGTTAGTACTTGGTAATATAACTTTCACATTTATAATTGTGTTATTATATAATTGATCGGTACATTTGTCTTCGTAATAGTGCAGCGGTGACGTATTGGCTTACTAATCTCAAGAATATGATTGTAGCCCTGGTTTAAAAACTGGCATAAAAACACTTTGTTTCGTACTAGGGGTTAGCCGTTTTAAACTCTTCTTATTGGCAGTACCGGACGTAAAGCTCAATGCTCGATTATTTGACTGCTGTGTACATCTTAATCTTTGCTTCATGAGGTGTGTTGCCATCATTTTGTATTACTAACTTGAACCTGAATAAATTGACCGTGTGTATTTCTACTGAGCAGATTAGAAGAGATCTTTGAAGTGCGAATATGCAATGCACTTAGAAATCGTAATCTAAAATAAAACTTTTGTCTTTTCTTACCTTAATATTAGATGGCGGTTGCGGAGGTAACATTGGGTGATGCGTTGTCCAATGTAGATGTTTTGGATGAGCTTCCTCTTCCGGATCAGCAACCCTGCATCGAGGCCCTACCATGTTCAATTGTTTATCACGCCAACTTCGACACAAACTTCGAAGATCGGAACGCTTTTGTGACCGGCGTCGCCAAATATATCGAAGAGGCTACCGTGCATTCTGAACTGGTATTTTTATCTTCAAAGAAACACATAGATAAAAATAAATATTTGGCTAGCAAGTCCTTTTATTAAATGAGTATTATCGGTAAATGTCACCAACGCAAAATTCCACAAATATATGTAGCACAATCAGGATATAACACATCGATCTGGAATTATAACCGACATAGGTCACATAGCCATCATTTATATGTGGAAAACGTATACGAACTTAATTTTGCAAACTAAAAGTCTAAACTAAAAGTAAATCTCAAGTTACTCAAACGTGAAGTTGGTTATTACCTGGTTATTTTTTGATACTTTAGAACGAAATGTTAGAGCAAGGAGAGCAGCATGCGGTGATGCTGTATACCTGGCGCTGTTGTTCGAGAGCGATTCCACAGCCGAAAAGTAACGAGCAGCCGAACAGGGTCGAAATCTATCAAAAGACTGTGGAAGTTCTCAAACCAGAAGTGCGAAAACTACTTAATTTCATGTACTTCCAAGTGAGTATTTGATTTAAGATATCAGTTGAATATTTGTACAGTAAAATGTAACACCTAGGGGTTAGGTATATGAAAACTGCGTACATATAATTATAGCAAGTTAACTTCGTTCAGATAGAAAAAGCTTTTTAAGAACGAAAATATATCAAATAACGGAATAGCCGTTGTGAGGATGAGTTGTAGATTTGCTCAAAATATGCGACCTTTTTTGAGAGAACTGTCCGATCACTTTTCGAATCAATTTCTCTCAGTTCAGACGTCTCTGTAGCTATATGACTTTTGCAGAGGTTGTCAGTTTGAAACAGATATTAGGGAATCAAGTAATACAAACTTTCTGAATGTTCTGACCGATTCTGAATTTTCTGTTAAACGCGAGCCTATTACAAACATTAACAGATGTGCCATTGTTTAGTGTGGGATACAAAAAATCATTTTATTTGTAAAAGTAGCCATTCAAGAGAGCTCTTATATGATGATGTAAACTGGAGGCAAATGTCATATTTGATTTTAACTTATGTTTTATGTGCGATTTTCTTTACACATGGGCTACTATAAAAGCTGATCGCTAATGCAATGGGAATTACGTTTCTTTTCACTATCTAACATACATCTCATATGTGTTCCCAGAGGTCGTAGGAAAATATAATTGACAGTGATTAACATGATAGCGGTATAATGTTTTTTGTTTGGTCTTTAGCGTAAGGCGATTGAGCGATTCACAGCCGAGGTGAAACGGCTCTGTCATACGGAAAAACGTAAAGACTTTGTGTCAGAAGCATACCTGCTTACCCTCGGCAAATTTATCAACATGTTCGCTGTTCTTGACGAGCTCAAAAACATGAAATCTTCTGTAAAGAATGACTATGCTACCTACAGGAGAGCCGCGCAATTCCTTAAAGTGTTGGCGGATTCACAACAACTTCAGGAATCACAAAACCTATCAATGTTCCTGGCCACCCAGAATAAGATCCGCGACCAACTAAAGGAGGCTCTTGAGAAGATCCCCGGATATGAGGAGCTACTGGCGGACATTCTGCACACATCGGTACACATGTTAGAGACGCATATGTACATGTTACCATCAGAGAAACACATGCTCGTCAAAGTCCTTGGGTTCGGCTCATTTCTCATTGATGGAAACGTGGCTAATATAAACAAACTGGATCAGAAGAAACGAGTGTCCATTGCCAAAATGGACCGCATATTGAAGAACCTTGAAATGGTGCCACTATTCGGTGACATGCAGATTTCGCCTTTCCACTACATTAAACACTCGGCTCACTTTGACGCGAAAAATTGGCCTTTGTCATCTTCGACGAATCCATCGCCGCAAAGTGACCTACTGAAAAATCTGCAGCCGATCCGCGATGAATATGCGCGTTATATTAGTGAGTTGGCTCGCCACTCAAACGAAGTGACCACCACGGTTAAGGAGTCACCTCGCACTGATGATGAAAATCGTGAGCTCTCGGAGTTGGCTTTATCGGGACTGCAGCTGCTGTCCAACTGGACTTGTCATGTTACGGAGCTATACTCGTGGAAATTGATGCACCCTACAGATCCTACCCTTAACAAACAATACTGTCCTCCAGACGCTGAAGAGTATGAACGGGCAACCCGATATAACTACTCACCCGATGAAAAGTTCGCTCTCATCGAGGTAATCGCAATGATTAAGGGACTTCAGGTACTTATGAGCCGTATGGAAACAGTATTTACCGATGCTGCGCGCCGGCATGTTTACTTCGAGCTTCAACAGTTCGTCCAGTTGAATCTCAGGGAACCACTACGGAAAGCCGTGAAAAATAAAAAGGAAGTAGTCAGATCTATTGTGCAGTCTGTACGAGAGACATGCGCCGACTGGATGCGTGGCTATGAGCCAAGCGAAGACCCGGCGCTCAAGGGGAAAAAGGATGCCGAATACGAAATTAAGGCACCTAGACGAAACGTAGGACCTTCAAGTACTCAGTTATATATGGTTCGTACAATGTTGGAAAGTTTGGTCGCAGACAAAAGCGGAACCAAACGTAGTCTTCGAAAAGACTTGGACGCCGCGTCCTTGGCTGATATCGAAAAGTTCCATAAGCAATCATTTTATTGGAATTATTTGCTTAATTTCTCGCAGACATTGCAGGAATGTTGTGATTTGTCCCAGCTGTGGTACCGCGAGTTCTATCTTGAGATGACAATGGGTAGACGGATCCAGTTTCCCATAGAAATGTCTCTTCCGTGGATCCTTACGGACCACATATTGACGACGAAAAACCCTGCCATGATGGAGTGCGTTCTATATCCGCTCGACCTGTATAATGATTCAGCTTTCTACGCGCTGACCAAGTTCAAAAAGCAGTTCCTTTACGACGAAGTCGAAGCCGAGGTTAATTTGTGCTTCGATCAATTCGCCTATAAATTGTCGGATCAAATCTTCGCGTATTATAAACACTTAGCAGGCAGTATTTTGCTCGACAAGAGGTAATGAACGAAACCGTTAGGTATTTTTATGGCTTTAAGTGTTAAGTAGTTCTTTTACACGTATTATTACTGTCAGTAATCGTCAAACCGTAGACCAGTTAACCGACCGATACCAAAGGCAGCAAACAAATAAAACGTAATAGAACAAGGATTCACGTTACGAAGGCGGTTTTGGGTCTCCCCTTTGAGCCGGCATATTTAAAATGTCCGTTTGCCCAAAAGTAGCATTCTTTATAGAGCAAATTGGACGACTATCTCTAATATATATTTTAGCTTATGATTGACTTGGTCTATACGGTTAGTAAATTTTTGTCTATTCTGTAATCTGAAACAAGAAAGAAGATTATAGAAAGGGTAGGCTAAGCGGAGAAGATAAATTTCCTTCTTTAATATAAAGAATTGAGTACTAGTAAACATCTTCATTTATTAGTGGGCCGTGAAATATTGGGTTAGGTTACTTTTGTTTCTATCAGGTTGTCCGCCAAACGAAACGTTTTAATGATCAGGTTCTAGGTGTTCCGCTTCCTTTTTTAACTATTTATGTCGCATTAATTCTTGTCGGTTTCTGTTCCCTGCAGGTTCCGTGCGGAATGTATGATCCAGGCTGGTGGAACATCGTTCCCTTATCCACAGGCGAATCGTTACGAAACTCTTCTGAAGCAACGACACGTACAGCTGCTTGGCCGATCCATCGACCTCAATCGACTTATCGCACAACGCGTTAATGATGCTATGCTTAAAAGCCTTAATCTTGCCATTCAAAGGTATACATTCTACATTTCAGAACGCGACAAAATATTTGCCCCTCGTCATATCACAACCTGTTTGCTAAATCGATCGTTTAAACGCAGCAAATAAAAATTCTAGAGAAAATTGTCTGTTTTGGCTAAAGTATGAAGACTAGATCTTAAGAGAGAATAGGATCTGTGCAACTTTAAGCAGTTGCTGTGTGCTACACATTTCCTTTAGTAAACTTACTTCTTCAGTATATTTCTTCTTTGCAGATTCGAATCATCAAATATCACCGGCATCGTAGAACTCGAGGCGCTGCTGTCGATAAATCGGCTGGCGCACCAACTACTTTCCAAGCATCTTCAACTGGACTCATTTGATGCGCAGCTTCGTGAGGCTAATCACAACGTTTTGGCTCCGTATGGTCGGATTTGTCTACACACGTTCTGGGAGCTCAATTATGAATTTCTTCCTAATTACTGCTACAATGCCGCTACAAATAGGTATGAAAAGGAGATAATGACAAGACGACGTAATTATTGTATGTGGCCTTAGGGCATTACGAGACACTGCTCTACTGTTTAATCGTACAAACAAATTTATGGGTACAAATAACGGTTTTATTACTATTTTCAACTAAGCCACTGCCTGAAATGAACTTTCCTAATCGAAAGACCATAGAAGATTTAGGTTGCTGGTAATTTTTTCACTTCCGCGTGTACGATAATGAGTAGTGAGGAATAGATCTATTTGTCGTTTCACCTGCACCGGTCTTCTTTTCGCTGGATAGCTCTTTTCATTGATACCATTTGTACGGCAAACGGTACGTACGACGCGATAATGTAAGCAGCAAGCAAACTAAATATTTAACAATAAGGGTAATATCTATTGTGATGTGCTAGTAGCAGATCCATCAAATTAATTCACAAACCTTGATAAAGAGCAAAACTGATTGTAGCTAATACCCCGTAAACTATTTGTTTCGACTGTACTTCGTGTTCCAGGTTCGTCCCTGTGAATATCCGTGGGCCGATGAGTTTCGGCCAGAAACTTGAGCGGGAAAAGCCACCATCAGCCCAACCACACTGTTTGTACGGAAGCAAAAGTTTGAACGTCGCTTACACAGCTATTTTTGCCGTCTATGCCAAGTTTATCGGGCCACCACACCTTCGCTCTCTCTGCCGCCTTCTCGGATACCAGGTAGCAATCATGTACCCTACTTAGGACTTACGTAAAGCAACCGAAACCTGCAAACTTAAAGATTCAAAAATACACTCGGAAACCTACATAAACGGAAATACAAAAATTCTACAAGACACAAAGATGCCTGACGCGCAGAACACTTAGTTGACACATTGAACCTATACGGTGTAAGGAAACTGACAACTAATTTGTGTCAGAATTTATTCAAACAGACCTTTTTAGTGAAAGCTAATATTTTCGGGACGAGCCTTGCTACAATTTAGTTCATCGAATAGCAGAACTTGCATGCTCTTTCTCTAAACACATCATGTGGAGCATAAGCTGCGGCCAACGGCGTACATAATTCGAAAACTCAACGGTGCCCCTCTGAAGCGTCACTGCAACGGTTATGTGTATACACTAGCCGAATTGACCACCAATTGTTTAAATGTGTGTTTCACTTTTAGGGAATCGCGGTAGTCATGGAAGAACTACTTAAGGTCGTTAAATCTCTCATCCAGGGCACAATTCTACAGTATGCCAAGACATTAAAAAATGTCATGCCCAAGGTGAATGAAATAAATCTATTGACTGAACTAACGATAAATTTTGCAACGCGTACAAACAACTTTGCATCACAGCACCAAAAAATAAATATCTCGATTTGATTTGAAAGGAACCATCCAAAGAACGTCATTAACCTAGGCTTAATTGAATTACTGAAGCACGTTTTTTACGCTACTTTTCACAGGTTTGTCGTCTACCGCGATATGATTATGGCTCACCTGGAATTCTTGGTTATTATCAGGCTCAGCTAAACGACATTGTACAGTTCCCTGATGTCAAAATGGATATGTTCCAGAGCTTCAGAGAGGTTCGTTTGGATCGCAACACAGTTAGCCTTGACAATGGCATTTTTTTCATATGTAAATACAGTCAACTTCTGGAATTATATATTTAAGAATTAATTAAGCTGGCTACCATTCAGCTTAACATGTATTACTGTTTTCGAATCTGCTTAATATTTTCGACGTCGTACTGCTTAATACGACCATTCTGGTTAGGTGCACTCCATATGAAGTTTTTGTAACTCTTAGAATACTTCTATGCGCATCCTAAATAAAATATTCTTAGAAAATTACATAAAGGTTTATATTATGATGTCTGTCCTGCACTAGTCGCTGATTCCATGTCACTATAGGTAGTCTTCTAACGGATCTATGATCATCGCGCTTTATTTGATAGGTAGGCAATGCGCTACTTTTGTGTATGCTAGTCGAGCAACTGTTGTCACAGGAAGAGGTGTGCGATCTGCAGCATGCCGCTCCATTCCAAAACATTCTGCCTACACCGCACTGCAAAGATGGCGAAAAGCAAGAGACCAAACTGAAAAGGCAGGAGCAGAAGTACGCCAGTTTGCAAGTTGTGCCAACCATCGAAAAATTGGCCAGTCCGAAACAAGCAGCGATTGCCAAAGAAGGTGATCTCCTTACCAAGGAGCGACTGTGTTGTGGCCTCAGCGTTTTCGAAGTGATCCTAGGCCGAGTACGATCATTCCTGGATGACCCGATTTGGACCGGCGGGCCGCCACAGAATGGAGTTATGAATATTGATGAGTGCGACGAGTTCCACAGGTTTGTATTGTGGTCCTGTATTCGTGCAGTCTAAGGTGACATTCGTACGTCTCTTTTCTTGAAATGCTCACCATAACCATAATATATATAACTATATATATATATATATAACATGGTAAGTGTTGTTCGCGGCAAAATCGAGCTGTCTGTAACGTGTTCATATTGCCGTGCATTCTGTGCCTCATTCATTATCTCGACGCCAGGTCCAGTTTTTCATTTTACGTCAAAGAACTAGATTTCAAGAATTTTCAGCCAAACGGACTGCCTTGTTTCACTCTTGCTGCATTCAATCCATTTAACTTCGTTTAACACGCGTTTTATCGTTGTGTGCTATAGATTGTGGTCGGCTCTCCAGTTCGTCTATTGCATCCCGGTGGGCGAAAACGAGTTTACTGTCGAACAGCTCTTTGGAGAAGGGCTCAATTGGGCGGGATGTGTAATGATTGCTCTTCTTGGTCAGCAGCGTCGCTTCGAGGCGCTCGACTTCTGCTATCACATACTCAAGGTACAGCGAGTCGATGGCAAAGACGAGTTGGTGAAACAGATCCCACTCAAAAAGATGGTGGATCGCATACGCCGCTTTCAAGTTTTAAATTCGCAAATTTTTGCCATTTTGAATAAGTTTCTTAAGAATGAGGCCTCCGAGGGATTCCCACCTGTAGAACATGTCCGTTGTTATCCACCACCGGTGCATCAGAGCCAACAAAACCGAGCCAACCAGCCTGCTACAATATATATGCGCTCCGATCAGCTCGTCTACAATAAGTAGAAAAGCGTTAAAGTACTGAAAAGTAGCAAAAAAAGCCATTAAACTCATAGTACGTACAACACCGTCAATAACTATCATAAAAAATAAAGTCATAGCTGGGTAACATTGAATATCATAACAGAAATTAATTAAAATATGGCGCCAAATTTGAACGTGTTCTTTTCGCAAAAATCTGTTTGCCGTGCAGGAGGGCCTTAAAATGCACAGTGACGGGATATCTACACTGAGCAGTGCTGATCTGCGAAACGATTTCCAGCGCAATAACAAAACTTGCGAATCAAATGCTAGGCTCAGACATACACACAGAGACGCTGATGATACGGGGTGACGAATACGAATAAGACAACTTAAAAGCACAACTCCATCTTGTACAGATTATACGTAACGAGATGAGCCTTTAACAAAACGTCGAGCTCGTTACGATGAGAAAAAAGGTGAATTAATATAATTGTAATGATACGAACTGCAGTTCATGTCCGCAGGTTCTCTTCTAGTGTTCATTTCTATGGTGTCACGAGGTGCAACCTTACTCTTACATAGGTGGGGAAGCCGTGAGCTGGCATTGGCTTTGATTATGTGGATATTAATGTCAAAGGATGGCTTTGTGCTACCTCTTAGTGCTTAAGTGAGTAACTAATACCGATTGTACAACCCATCGATTACTATCACATTATACTGATATGCAATAGAACAGGCGGGCTCAATTTAAGAACGTTTTTACTGTTCTTTATGCCCTATAAAAGATATCACTATGGAGACGAGAAAATAACTTTTCGACGAAAACTCAACTTCTATTATTGTGGATTTATAAAGTATAAATATATAGTAATATCTGTAGCTTAGCTGGCGTACGTCGAACATATGAAGGTGTTCAGATTGTGTGTATATATACATACGCATGTATTCGTGAGAAAAAGAGATAATTTATCAAAGTCTCAATGCTACTCAAAATGATATCAGTAATTGTGAAACAATAGAAATGACAGACATTATTTCAGTGTTCTTTTTCTCTTTCTAGAATTAAGGTACTTTACGTTTTTCATTACAGTAAGAATATAACTATAATTTACTTAATTGTGTGTTAACATATGGTAGGGCAAATCGGAGCGGTGCTTACATTATCTGGCGAGCTGATTTACTGTATTGTAAATGATGATTTTGAAATATGAAGCACGGAAAAGTATTCTTGCCAAAAGAACCACACGCATCTGAGATCCGGCCTTGTTGTAGATTCATGGACAGTACTATAACACCTTGCTTGCACAATGTCTTATTCTGTCGCAAGTCGTTCAAAATGATAAAGGCCTACTGTGTGTGGAACTTCATTCTACAACAGGTTACCAAGTACTCAACAATGTCTAGCAAACACTGTCGAAATTAGCTATTTGACGAGATGACACGATGCAAATGTGAATGCGCGAAGGCAGGTTCTAGTGGCGCAATCGGTAATGATAATAAAAAAACGAGGCTTCCTCTTTACCTCCGTGTGTATCAGTCAACGAACGAGTTAGCGTTCAATGTATCCACAAGATTTGGCCGGCTTATTTTTATTTATCATTATAATAATAACAATTATTACCACTATCACTGTTATTATTATAAATAGAGAGGACAACGTGTACGCATCAATGTTTAGACGCACGAAACACAATTCAAACTATTGAAAAAATCTGCTATTCTGCGCAATATTTCCGTCCTCGTACCTTCTGTAAGATAAACTATGTTATACATATTATATTAAGTTCAATAAAGTCGAAAAGTATACATAGAACAGAAGCGCTTGGCACTCTATTCGTTCGTCTTGATTTCCATTTAAGGTTTGTCACTTAGGCAAGCCTGTCAATTCAACTTGGTTCGCGCGCTGCTGATGCCAATTTCTCTCCTTATTTTATTGCCGTTTGTAAACTACTTTGAAATAGAGCACGAGTAGATATTTTTTTGGTACACTTCAAACGGTACGCAAGTGAAGGTGTTTTCGGGCCTGCAACATGCGCTATTCATAAATCTATTAGCCTTATTATAGGGTGCGACTGAGCCTAATTTACTGCGATGTCGTATCCCTGTGAGTAGTAACGGGGTCGCCTATTATCATCAGGAGTGCCTGCTCGTCTAGTTTCAAAGCTAGCAGAAACCATTCGTGTCAAGCAGTACTTAATAATGGTATCAGTCATAGAACTCTATAATGTCCTACAGGGATTAAAGTCTCAGTAAATAATGCAGAACAGAAAAAAAAGCTTAGCGATTCTGGTTTTATTTAGTACAGCGATAGTAATGCTAATTTTTTGAAGCATGTCGGCGAACGCTTTAAACACAATAGTAATACGTATAAACAAAAAAAATCGTTTAGTAGTACGTATACATAGCTATTTGTGTCTAGCTCAACGCTGTACAAATAGCCCTTTATTTATAATCAAGGGACATATGATAATAATAAGTGTCATATTTTAATCACCACTCGAACACCTATTCGCCACGAAACTTCGAAGGCAGGTTTTCCAAATAGGCAGAGTTTTTTTAGCGATAAGGATTGACTTCATGGACAGACAGGTTTAATGATAACCTTCGTCAAGGTTTCATCCTGTTATTGTGAAGTACATGGCTGTTGTCGTTCTTCGTGGTAGTATTATCGATTCAGATTAGCGTAACGGAAAGAGCCGAGTTCTCGTATCGTTTTCTTGAATTTATATTGGAAACTTTTATGTGCCAAGACATTTTCTAGCATTTCAGTATTACCATGCCGATTTTTTTATCTTTGTTTGCATATGATTGTCATATGACATACCTGACTTTACTGAACAATTTTCTCCGGGGTGTGTTAGGGGTGCATATTCCAGGATCTGATAAATTCAGCTTTGGTATACTAAGGACCACAGAATTGATAGCTGCTTGTAGAAACTCGATTTATAAAGTTCTTTAAAAGTTCTAAAAAAAAAAAAATTTCTTTAAAATTTAGCTATTTCGTTACTTACTGTTAGAGTTTACAAAAATGAGAAATATACAGCTGCACGTGCTATCCGACTGAAGGTTCTACGAAGGCAAGAAAAACGAATCATAGCGACAATCCTCGTCTGTCAAGAAGCCGCCACTATTACTAAACAGGAATATCTGTAAGTAGATCTGTTTTGTTTTCTAACAGATCTTTTGGTAAACCTAACTAAACGTATCTAACTAATTTTTTTAATTTTGAGCCGCCATAAACAATTCCCATTTCAGGGTTTCATTTTCTCGAATATGTCGTTTAGGTTAGTTGCGTATTTCTCGTGAATTTATTGAAGTTGATAATTATAATAAAACGTTCCCACAAAACGTTTTATTATTATTTAAATTTTTTCAAGCTAAGTATATCATTCCGATTTTAGTTCCTTATCAACCGCAGAACAATCAGAGAAAAAGCTGGGCTTCCAACTGCTTAAAAATCCATCTACCTATCTATCTCCCGTGAAATTCTATAAAGCTTGGTCGTAAACAGTAGCATGACAAACCACGGCCTTAGGGAATGCCAGGACCTGTAGTCGTCGGGCAATAATAAAAAAAATCATTCTATTGATATTATCACTGAAAAGTGGTGCGCTTTATCCCAGTTGTAATATCGATAGCTCCTGAAGTGCTGGTGGGCACTCGGATCTAGTTTCAAGCTAAGATATCACTCCCGTCAATGTTTAAGGATCACGTATGAGAAAAAAACTCGTTACGATAGAGTGTTTCTTGCATTCACTCTACCAAAGACAAAGTGGGTGCAGGATGCACTCCATCGACATGCGTTTTACCCTCTGACCACGTTCAGAAGTCAGTTTCTCCTCGCCAAACCTGAAGCCGAGGTCAGTTTATACTTTGATTTAAAGAACGATTCGGTCGACTAACTTTTATAGCCTATTATTACATTAGATACTTACTGAAACCATTATGCCGGTTCCAATAGTCATGCAATTATAAAGTAAGCCTTCTTCAGAAGTTTCCTAAAATAATTATTGCTGAACTGATGTATTTAAAACGAGGACGTTTTCAGATTTATTGTTTGCTTTTAATCAGCACCTCTCAAACTTATGCAATAGAAAATCAATCTGTCTAGTTTCACTAAATCAAAAACAGGAAAACTAGCCGATTACGTTAGATCGTTGAATACGATACTACTGTGACAAAGATATTTGAGACTGACCAATATGTATACCGTGATTTATATGGTTAATAAGAGAGATGTTGCAAGGACACACTTTAACAGAAAAAAGCAGATGCACTACTAACGACACTCATGCAGACAGGACGTAGACAATCTATTTTTGTCAGGGAAGGTGCCCTGAGCAAGTGCAGCTTCTATCGTCTGAGTGGAAAAAGCTATCGATAAAGTGTAACGCAGGAAACTCTTGAGTTTCATAGAATACGCGAATAGTTGAATTTGGGTTTTATATCCATAATAAAGCATATCCGACTAGCCTTAGAGCCAGGATTGTCTTCCGACGAGCGTGTGAACCAGTTCATGGTGAGCCAAGCATACATGCAGAAAGTACCCGTTTGTAGAGAAATAACGCGTGTTATTGCATCGTACCTTGGCTGTGTGTAAGGCCACCATTGGGGTTACGAAGCGACTCATCGTGTCGAAACTATTATCAGACGTAATGTTTTTGTGCATGCTCCGCCTGATCGGCTTGAAGGACATAGAGCCTGCTCTATATAGAATGAAGCCGCTTAATTACACAAATAATCGGGTTCGTGTATATCATACCTGCCGGAGAGAACGGGCTACAGGGTATATCATTTTCTAAAATGTGCTATACCGTATACGCGATTGTCAGACTTTTAAATCCCAAGTATTTAGTTTTTTAAGCTAATTCCTGAAAGGCAGAAAGTTCAGCGGCTTTTTACCAACCGATAACGCTAGTAAACAGCGACAGAAAGATGGTTTCCTAATGCGATGTATTCATTTTTAAATAGTTTCCACTTTTCAACAGTATTCGCTCTTGTGCCATACTTGTACATTAAAATCACACCTGAACGTAACAATATGATGTTTGCACTTCTTAATACAGAAGATATGTTTCCTGGCTATAATCGTTAGTTATTCATTATTACTACTTTGTTTCGTTTAGCCCTCTTTTCTCCACCACGCTGCCGCTGTCACTTCGTTATAAAATTCGTAAACTCGATTTAAATACACACTTATTTACTTTTATTGTTAATAAAGGCGTGTTTGTGTTCCAATTTCACGTATTCCGAAGTTGTTTTCAATTTAATCCAACTACGACAGTTTATTACGTACTCAGAGATGTGTTATCCAAATAAATAGAATTTCGAGTTTTGTTTGGCACTGCCGTTAGGCGTTACTTGCGACGGATGTCTTCCGCAATCAACCGAGGTATGACTCTGCGTAGTTTCGAACGTAGATCACCTGTCCATGTGCTATTAAGTTGGCAAACACGTTACCGCTGCACCATTTCAAGAAAAATAAATTACTGAGGTGAGTTGAACAGACCTGTTCTTAGCGAAGGATCTAGAAACGGCTAAAGCCTAGAATTTTAACCAACCATCGCTGGTATTAGCGTCGCTGAAAGATATCATTGTGCACGAAATTGAATAGTTCGAGAATTCGCTTCGTTTTATTGAAGGAATTTTCTTTACTTGGTTTCCTTTAATGAATATAAGTATCTATTTCGTGAATTCAGAGTACTGTTCGAAGTACCTGATTTACGCCGCGTGTGTAGTCTTGATAGTCGTTGGTAGTCAAGATAATCGTTAAGAAGTCCTTGTTGGCGACTAGAGGTTCGCTACCCTTCGAAAGTCGGAGTGGAGCTTAGCGGTTCTTCAGCTTAGCACTATTTTAGCAAGCGATGCTTGGCATCCTCTGAGGCTCCTTTTTCAAAATTTCATATTTCATTCTCGTTTCAAAAAATGTACATTTTTATTTTAAAGTAATAGTAAAAGGAAACGCCAAACGCCGCTTAATTTCCTCTGCGGTCGCGTAACTTCATGTAAAGTGTGTACATTTACCGGAAGCATTTATAATATGCATATTACGCTGCCTTACTCTTAAAGACGACCAAACTCGGATTGCAGGCGAGGCGGTCGCAGGAACGGGGAGAGCATTCGACTACCTTCCTCTCTAATGAGGAATAACACAAATGTTAAATCTCTTTAAAATAGATAAGAGACCACAAAATTTAATTATCATAAAGATATATTAACTTTTTTAACGTTAACTGTTTTTTACAATCTAGGTTTCCGAAGCACAGTTCGATAAAAATTTAAAGATCGCACTTTAATCTGCCAAAGTTGTACGATGTAGATAGTTAACGTTTTTACGAACTTCTTTATACATCGAAGTCCAAAACTTACCTCACCGGTAATTTGGCCAAATGCTGAACCTAAGCTGCTCATATGTAGGGCAATGCGTAACATCCCAATATAACTTACATTAAAAAAATATACTAATTTATTATTATAACAATCGTTTGTAAATGGATATTTTTTAAAGCTTTATAAAACCAATTAGTTGGATGCAAATTAAATTTAATTAAAATAGATCGGCTTTCTATAATAGAGAATATAGGAATAACCTCCAACTTAGATAAATGCTCGGGTTGTTTGGCAAATAACTGAGAAACGTATACGCACTGACAAGGCAAATCTCTCCGAGGTGGCAGCCATTTTGCAACTCTATAACCCCTCTATATACCCTCATTTTAATTAAGTTTTGTTTTAGCAGCTCCCACTTTTATGCGTTGTTACACGTTGTTTCGCCTTGTTCATTGTTCTGCACTGTATTTTCATCACGGTGTCGTTTGTAACGTGTTTGCCTAGCTTAGGGAAATACGGTGAGATAGGCTAAGCTTGAAACTGGGTTTAAATAAATACACCTCGTTTCGAGAAAAAGATCAATTGTCGGAAGCAATTCTGAAAAGTCGGACGAAGCATAACACTCGAAACACTTATAGATGCTTTCATTCGAAAATTAGTGTACATTTTTTTGCTGTGTTTTTTAGTCTGTTACCCGGCTTACCAGATATGACTGTACAGCATGTCTTGCCTTTAACATCGAACCTATTCACTATGTCAGTAACTGTTGTTATAATTATAGGCGACCTATTCTAGTACCTCTAAAGCACGCTATTTGAATTTCGTACATTTATTGCGTTGAAAACCATAAGCAAATTAGAGGACGCTCATTTACGTTTAGGCGCAACGTAGGCGGCGTATTAAGCTTGCATTTCATCGAAGATCCAACTTCTGCACAGTTTTATGCCAAGCATTTTTCCTTTTTTTTTTTTTGTGTACATAATGCTTTTTTTTTTTTTGCAATAACAGCAAGCATCTTGTTCACTCATAATGGAGTAAAAAAAAAAATGCTATAGATTTTCTGGGGAATGACAATTTATTGATATTGTAGTTTTCATTTATTACTCTGTACAGGTATGTACAACTACCTTGACAATACATTTTCATTAAAATAAAATGGAAATTCTTCATGGGGCAGAAATTGACGTGTAGTGAAATCTAGCGTTTTTGCTACGCTTTCACTACGATGCCCACATTGTGCGCATAGCTTTAGTTTTGATCAATGAAACTCTCCTACATGGCCATTATCCTCAAGGGATACGTATTTTTTTTTTAATATCTACATTAGCTTTAGATAACGACAGCTTTTAACAGCATAGATTAAGAGCCATCTATATAAACGGGCTATCAACAAACATTACTGCTTATCGGGTAAATCTCCCGCAAAACGAGTTTCACTTCGGGTTTTTCTTTTCAGCGCTTTCTGGTTAATTCCGTCGCGATCGCCATCTGGCCCGCTCGTCGCTTTCTATCCTCTTATTGCATTTACTATTTGGCTTTCCAATTGGCCCCTAAGCATACACAAGTTGCTGTTGGTCGGCTCGTGTGTATTGCTTTGCCTTTTCTCCATGTACAAGCTATGCGCACAATGTGGGCATCGTATTTGTTTTACCAGCACGTACCAACAGCTAACCAACATATATCCCTAGTTGTTTATGATACTAACATGGACACCGCCTAATGTTCTCTGCGGACGGCTTAATACTGAACTACGGCGTCCGTCATCAGCCAGCCAACCGGCGATATCGCCTCCATCACGGGCTAGGAGTGCGACGTAGGTGTCCCGCTTTCTCTATTCCGCCCTCAATCTGTAGTAAGGCGCTTACCCGTAGTGCGCGTCTACCTGTCATTATGGGCAAGCAACGTCCCTTTGTTCATGCGCATATTTCTCTGCACGAGTGCATATGTGCATGTATATTAGAAGAGACTTGTCGAACTCCGATTTTATCTTTACGGCCAAATTTTACCGTACGCTCCAGGTCGCTCCCTCCTACGGTGAATGAGTGGCGTACCATCGTTTCTGTCAAGCTTCGATGCCTTTTCTCGGCCCCTTTACCCTTCACCTGTCACTCTATCTATCTGCGAGTCCACATTTCATTCCGTATTGCCGTTCCGAAGCGTTATGTCTACCTGTTTTGAACCTATGCCGGCCGTCGAGCACCTGGCCACCGCCAGTGGTCACGGTCCTTTATCGGCGTTACCGTCCTGCTCAAAAATGAGAGTAACAAAATAGTAGCATGTATTAAACTAATGAACGATCCAACATTTACCGCCTATCCTTAACAATGATTCAATGAGTCGAGGCTCTTCGAGACTATGTAATTGGATCAACACCGCTATCTTGTTCCGCGCTTACGCCCACCGTCGCTGTTATCTTGCGGCGGAACGGCGATGGCCTTCGCCACTACGACTGCCCTAGTTGCAAGGTTTCTTCGCGGTCGTCACGAAATTAAGAGAACACGATCATTGTCGTATTAGTGGTCCAGATTAAGGCGGGTGCAATAACGATGTTGGTTGTAGTGGTGGACATTGCTGACATCATAGTCGTTGTTGTTGTCGGCCTAGCGGGCGCGGGCGGTCGAGCGAGCGGATGTACGATAGCCAACATCGTCGTAATTGTTCCGGGAGTGCCAGCGGTCCAACTGGACGGAATCAACGAGCGAGTTACCTCGTTCCCGTGTCTGGCTGTCTACCGGTAGTCACTTCAACCTATGACGCTTTCAACGGACAACGCACCGTGTCCAGCATTGCCGACTAACTTAAATTTCAAACAAAAACAGTCATTTTATTGAACACCGATTCCAGTGGAAGACCTATCAAAGACATGATGTCGTCAAGGCTTCACTGACATATCAGTAGTTGGAAAAAAACATAACCTTCCCTCCGAAGCAAGATCGACAACAATTTCTGGTGATTCACCGCTGTTACCGCTAAAGCCAGCTGCAATCAAGCTACGCTTTAGGTCGCACACATCGAGTCCTAGGCTATTTGGCTAGATTACGCGGAATGTGGGTTCAACATTTTTGTCACCAGCAACCTGTAGAAAGACAAAAACGCCAACAACCCTTCGGCCAAATCCTGTCTCCCCCTTAATTCGGCTTCTCTCCGCACCTCACCCTTAGTTCGGCTCTTGGCCAGTGCCGAGTAGCGCGTGTGTGGGTCGAATCGACGGCACCATCCGTCAATTTCGCGAATCGGCCAACAATAGCACCGACAGCGGCTGTTGGTGTGGTTTCTCTATGCCTGTTTATGGGTGATGCTGTATGTAGGCCGTAGGCTGCAGTAGGCGTGTGTTGCTCTGCAAGAGTCGTCCGTTCGTTGGCTGGCTTGGACAACCTATCTGTTTCTAGCTAGGCCGTGCCCGTGTAACCCGTCGTAAGAGAGTTCTGCTGATGAAAGCGATTCAACAGTGAACGGTGGGTCGATGTGTGTTTGGTGCTGATTCCTGCTGGGCCGATTGCTACGCCGTTGCCCCTCCTGTGGTGGCAGAACTGGTTGTTGATTAGGAACGAATCTTCGTCGCCGTCATCATCCGAGCAGTCTGAACGACCTGCCGCTGCTGCTGTTGTTACCGAGAGATTTAGACCTGCCGCTGCTGCTGCTCACTTAATGCTGTTGTTGGTGTGGCTAGTGCGAACAGCCGCAATAGTTACAGCATCGGCGGCACGGGCGCACGTTAGGCGGTGAACAGTATCTGTATTGTTTGCCTGCTTTCGGCAGTGTAAGTAATACTTGTAGTACGATAGCATTACAGTAGCGTGCTAGATGCTGAGGACCGACAGCGTTGCAACCGATAGTAACGAAATCATTGGCTGAAAAAAGCAGCAGCAGCAGCAGCAGCAGTAGCAACACGAACAGAGTAAGCAACATAAAGGTAGCGAAGCGGCGGCAACGAGCTAACTGGCTCGAACTCCGCTAATTAGTATCAGCTTTACAAGCAGCAGGAATTGTGAAGGGAAAGCCACTCGAGCAGTGTCTGTTGACGCTAGCTAACTAGCTAGTTTTAGCCGGGGGTTGATCTGTTGGCCCCCTTTTCGTGGACGAATCTGAACATCTAACGTAGTACTAGTAGCAGCAACCGTCACGACGCTTGCGGCGGGCGCGACGACAAACATTCGTCGTCGTCGTCGTCGTCGTCGTTGTTCTTGTCTTGTTGTGCCCAACATCATTACCCACTCGTTGGCTGTTGCCGCTGTCGCTTATTGCTATAGTGGAAATTGTTGTGGACGTTCTTATAACAACTCTCTGGCGATTATATTTGTTAGTCGCTGTGTTATCGATGCGGTGGCCGTATGGACTGGGGAGGTGCGTGCGTTGCGTGTCGAGGCAATAGGAGACATTTTGCGTGACGTTACATCACTAGGTAGGTACATTGGGTGGTGATTGCGGTAAGATCTTGCTACTACTCGTAGGATTTCTGTTCAGTGAATCTACCGTCTGGATAGGCTGTGTAAATTAGCCATTTACTTGCTAGACAAAAGTCCCCTACTCGTTTGCGTAGAGAGATTAGATATTTTATACTTAGCAAATTGGTCTGCTGTTAAGCTAGCTAAGGCAACAACTGTTACAATTACTGCTGTAATCACAAATCTAAAGCCTAAAACTAAACAGGCCGTTACGACTAACTGCCGTGTGTCTACGTATTTGTGTTTCTTCTATATCTAAACGCTTGCAGTTGTCATAGGCGACGGCGACGGCGGCGAAGGTTTTCGTACGAGAAACGACCGTGAAGCTGACTAACGGAGGAGGTGGATAATTTCGCTCGACGGCGTCAAATGTAGCAGTAAGGCCGACAACGAGAAAACGATGCAAAGTTATCTCCGTAAGAACTTACACTACTGCTAGGTGGAATACAATCGAAGTCATCACCATCATCATCATCATCATCGTCACTAGTATCTCTGCGTGGTACGCACGCAACAACCCAGCCCCACCGGTGGCTACCGTTCGTTCTGGTATCGACCATCATCAGAATCTAATTGTGGCCTTAGTGCGCGTCCCGTGTTTTCAGTCTGCCTGCCAGTCGTTATTCAACGACAAAGACATTGCATTTAGCAGCATTAAACTGTAGCAACGCGTTGTCGTCGTATTTATCGCGCTGTGTCTCTCTCGAGCAAAAAAAAATCGATTTCCGTTGATCAGGACCGGTGCCTAAGTGCAAGTGAAGGTGCCGCTAGCAGGAACGGCGTCATCGTACGACGTGAGGGTTCCATCGGGTTTGATCGTTTCCGCCGAAATTTGTGCTTGCTTATGCGAAATCGTGATTTGTGGCCGGTATATTGTAAGGTGCCAACTAGACAACTTCAAGAATAACACCAAACGATCCGGAGAAAGTGACCGCTGCTGGAGAGTGTCAGCAAACGCAACGACAATACCGACGATAACGAGTAAAAAGAGCAAATCTGCACGACGACCAAAAGAGAACGAGGCAAAAGAAGCAACAACACATTCAGAGAGGTGTCGACGGCGCGTCGAGCATTGACTGCTACCTGTCTCAACGAGCACTTCAGTCGGAAAGAACATAGTGACAGTGACGCAGAACGGCGTCGAGTAACGTGCGATCCAAACGTGATCGGTGACGCTAGCGACGCGATAAATATCTAGGCAATAGCGTCAAGACATTCGTGATTTATTCACCGGTGTTCACTGCGTGTTTTGTGGTCGTTCCCGCCCGTGTTTAGGGTGTGTACGTGCATGCCAGTGACAGCGGCATTTGCCGTGGAGTTTCAATAATCGGTTGAAGCAGAGTAGTGTGTGAGACATAGCTCGTGGTGATTTTTCGTGGCACCTGCTCGCCAGTGTAGTAGTTTGTGCGCGTGGAAATAGCCATCCAGCACCAGCGTTCCAGTAGCTGCAACGCTGCCTGTGGACTTCGCAGCTGGTAAAAACGAAAAGAGAGTAAGTTCGAGTCTTCCTTGAACAACAAGGTCGCTCCTAGTACACCGACACTAAATAGAAATCAACTGTCTAGCAACAACGAAAACACGTTTCTAAAGATAAAATAACAGCCGTATCAAAAGAAACTGAAACGCCGACGTGAGTACGAAACCCGTTAAGTATTTCTACGACAGCCAATAATTGACCGAGTCCCAAATACTGATACCGAAATAGCTTGAGGATTAACCGTCCTATCCCGTCCCGTTCGCTCCCATCACGTCGCATCCGTCTGCTGCAACGGATGGTTGCAGATTGAGGTTATTTTGCTACCACAGCCACCGCAGTCAACGGTAACTACCAGGAGCTCCTGGCGGCAGTCTTACAAGCGGTTTACAAAATGCAGACACAGCCTCCCACCGCCAAAATACAGACACAGCCGCCATTGGTCCCTCAGCTGTCACTTTTGTATCCGTAAGTTCAACCGCCGCGCCGCTTACTCGTTTATTCCTTTCGACGCCGGCAGCAGCAGCAACAGCAACAGCAGCAGCAGCAGCAGCAGTCGCCAGGCGACCCACCCCGCGACAGTGCCACCGGCCTTCTCGGCATTTTGGCCGCTCGTCATCGTCACTGTTTTTACGAGGGAGAGCATTGACAATGACAAGATCATTGCAATGGCAACTACGGGAATGTAACCAGTCACAACGGCTGCGAAAATTACTGTTGTATTTGTGGCCCATACCATCCACAACAGCGGACGATATCCGTACGACTGTGAGAGCTACTGCTAAGACTGTTGTTGTACACTCGGGTATCAGCTCCCGCTTGACTGCTTAGCTGATAATCGGGACCCGGAACCCGGTAGCTATCGAAAACCGATTGTGTTGGGACGAATGAATACTTCATACAATACAGCTGCAGCTGCAGCTGCAGCCGCAGCCGCAGTTGTCTTTGAATGACTCATCTGTTAGTGTGGGGGTGATGGGCAGTTTGTTGGCGGTTTTATCTGAAAGCTAGGCCAGCTAGCTGTCACGGCCTGAGTATCACAGCTTTACATTTAAAGCTCTACTCGTGTATATCTACAGATAACTTGAGCTAATGATGTACATGTATTATGCATATGTCTGAGTGCTTGTGTGTGGAGTCCCTACTCCTTACGAAGAGAGTGTTGTTACTGTACAAATAGATAAAAATGTGGAAATTATACGTATAGAGGGTGACGTATGAACGGCTGCATATACATAGGCTCTATTAGCATACTCTACATAGAGGAGGTAATGTCGTGGGTTTCGGTAGTTTGATTGCTCTTAGTTCTATGGATTACATCGATGGCAGAGACGGCAGCAAATGTATATACATTTATAGACGATATAAATGTATAGGTGATATAAATTTGTAGGTGTAATGGACATTCGTTGTTTGGACATCAGTGCTGGAGTTAATAGTCAAAGTAACCATTAGCTACTATTTGTGGATTTCTGGTAAAAATATAATAGTAGCTCCTGGAACCGCATCTTCCGACTGGATGTCAAAAACGAAGGTGTTATGATGTGACATCTATATCCTCCCGTTGGATGTTAACGTATGTTTAGCAATTTATCTTCATACAATGTTAAATCGAGGAAAGGTCTGGATAAAACACCGCATTCTTATGAGATTTTGGCCATGACATGTTTTTATACGCGCATCGCAAGTACTTAAAAAGCGCGCGCCAAAATGCTAGAACTCTCGCGGTATCCGCATAGCGCACAGGTTATAGCTTTCTCCTTTTACGCCAAATCATAATCATCGCATGACCGTCAATCATGTATTCAGCAAGCACGTACATGTAAACAACCTTACATATATATATACTACCAAAAGTCTAACTTAGCACGTTTGTCCGACCCAGAACGATCCTTCAGAGGGCACGGATTGCGCCGGTCTTGTGCATCAATACAGTTCCCTCCTGGGAAGATGTCAGAAAAAAAGATAGCGCTGCTTATCCAAGTACTTAAAGGATACAGTTCGCCTTTCTCCATTTTGTTGTCGTAAATCAAAGCCAGGATTGTCCTTTTCATTCTGCACACTTGAAAACAAAGCCGCTGAAACTACGCTTCACCAATACCAACACGGCCACATCTCTGAACAACGTATTTCATGATCAAGTACGTTCAACGTGTGTTATACGAGTTACTGTGTTTAAACTGCATTACGGAAAGGGGTTAATGGTTTCTATTCAACGTTAAATTTCTTGTAAAATAAAATTTGCTTCGAACCTCTGTAAAGGTTAAATAAAATGTCGCTAAACCGCGGATGACGCACCCATCATTCATCTCTTTTTGCCAGGTCGTGTTCAATGCTCACTTATTGCCTAACTATTTATTATTCGCTCGAGCAGCACCAGGAAACTTCATAAGAACGGTTACGGCTGTGCTTTACCTAGCTCAGTTAAGCAGCAGTTTTCCCTCAGGGGTTGCCGGTTGGATCTGGCAACGTGATGCAAATGGCTGACTCCGCCGCTACATTACAGTAGGTCCCCGTCCGAGCGGCGATTCCCTGTCAGCCCTGGCGATTCGTTCAGCCTGCTACCGATCAGCCGATCCGGCGTCCAATCGAGCGTCTGATGATGAGTCAGAGCCAACGCAATTGCCGCTAACGGCACAGCGGCATCAAAAGCCTGGCGGTCCGCAGCGAGTCACCATCAGTCAGCAGGGCTTGCTCACTCTGCCGTCGCCTGCGCCCGCTGTTTCTGTGTGAGAGGAAGGCAGAGAGAGAGAGAGAGAGAGAGAGATCTGTGGAGCGATTGTAAACGAGCAGGCGACTTGGTGGCAAGCCGGATCGCGGACAGCGGACAGCATCGATGCGCCATCCGCCTAGCAAACTGCTTTCCAAAGCGGCGGAACATTCTGCGCTCGATTTTATCGTTCAGCTGTTCCGACTGATATATGTTGGCATTGCTGGCGTGAGCTTTGGCTGCAGTCGCGTTGCGCCGCGCGTGGCTGTAGATACTGCTGCCTTTGATGTGACGTTCGGCACCATGTGCTCGTATCGTATAGCTCGAATAGCATGTTAACCGCTGCGTTTGTCGTTTGGATCGGCAACGGGCGTGGCAACAGTTGAGTCTGCCCGAGAGAAGATTGGTGTTAACAGCTAAATGCTTCCGTAAGTGATTACATATACATAATATTGATCGCAACGAACGCAGCAGTGCAAGGCTAACCGCAGGATGTTGCGTGGTCTCGCAGTATTGTCCTGGTCTAGCGACTAGTATTCGTTCTAGCCGTCATGGCAATGTATGAAGCTGTTGGTTAAAGCGTGCGAACAGCTGGTACTTCGTACCAAACACACCCATTCGCATGTCGGTTTAGCCCAAATGCTCATTGCAGATGTACTCTTCGTTCGTCGAATGGAGCGAGAAGCTGACAATGCAATTGCTACGATTGTACGCCCGCAAATATATGATGATGATATGCATCGATATATGCAAATTTATCTTCTCGACCGTTTCACGACCACGCCACACTTAATCACAAACACCGCCAGAATCCCTGCTTCTCGAATACAATGCTGACCTATCTGATCACACTAAGTTTAGCAACGTAGCTTGGGTTCGAATCTTCAACAGGACGCTTCTGCCTAGTGATTGAGCTTGTGATCTACTGTAACGCTGGCTAGGCTCTTTGACGGCGTATTTTGAGCAACGTAAACCGAAAGCGCTCGGCACCTCTAGCAGCATATGGTACCTACCCATCGTTTATGGAACTATTCGTTGTGTTGAATTTGTTCTGGGTTATACTTTTACCATCGTTACGAATGTCGGCCGGGTTGGCAACTCCATTCAGTGGCCACGACGAACCAAGACCACGCGGGCCATCAAACATGGCGTACTGACAGTGATGCATACGACAAAAGATTGAAGCTGCTACAACGTTCAATTACCGATTCAGGTGATTAGTGGAAAATTCGCGTCTCGGTAAAACGTGTTTCGTATGGCTAGCGACGTAGCCCGTCGGCATTAAAGAGCGAACTCGTGCCGAACCAGTGTTGGACATTGAATCGTTTTATGCTACAAATTAGCGCTGTTTTCTACTGCTGCTAAATACCTACAACTTAGTACGAAACGGGGCAACGCCTGTATGATGTTTAATGCGGCGAACTCTGATACTGGCAATCAATATGTATTTTAATCAATATTCCAGATCGAGTAGCAATGTCCTGTATTATATGTATTGATATAGCACTATATATATATATATATATATAGATATAGTGCTTGGGAAAATATCCTCTAGCCAATTGCCGTTTGTCCGGTTAGTGTGGTGCTCACAAATGTTCCCGGATCTCTTGTAAATTCGAAACGTTCGCTGATACAAAACTATACTATGTAGCTATATATACATGTGAAATGTTTGTCCATTCATGGTCCTTGGGCTCGCAAAGGCTGTGCTGAAAGTACCATCTAAAGAGAGTGCTAGTAAGCGTGGACAACGCTACTCACGGGTCGCTGATTGACATCGGCTAGCTTCAGTGGCCGTGTAGGAACGGCCCACGCGTTTATTGCTTTGTACATTTTTAGGCAGGACGTAGGCTACAGTATGCGGCATTTACTAATGCGGGTTGGTATTGCATACCATCAATACACACTTGCCATATTTTCAAGTTCATCTAAAATTGCCACGTGTTCATACGGATCACCACTGCTGCTAAGCGGTCCATTCTTTTTACAGTCGACATATGAACTAATTGTCACTGTTTTCTAGAAATATTATAATAATGAGGGTAAGCAGAGATAAGGTTTTCTCTGCCTCTGCTAGTATATCAAAGTTCTTTTTACAGAACAAAAAAGGCTGGAAAAGATAGAGGGAAAAAGGCTGTTCAGGCAGTGTTCTGGAATCGCGTTAGGACCACCCGGCTGTCGGCTTTGGCGCCGCATAGTCTGCTGTTTTGGGTGCCAGTCGGCGTAGATAGACGCCTAACAGAAACTGTACAAATGTCTAAAGATCCTGCTCTTTGCAGTGACTCCTCGAGTGCCCTAAGTGGCT